AGAGATAAACCTACCAAAATATTGAAGAACCCACTAAATGATTTTGAAAAGGAAGATAGCAGATGTTTCAGTGTACTTTTCCCTTTCACTTTGTTTCAAAGCCCTCTTCTTTTTGGGGTTTACAATCTGTTGTTGTGCCTGTGGTGATTTTTTTTACTGTTTCGAATCTCTTGTGTTTTTAAGGGTTGAATGATATGCTATTATGTTATTGTTGTTGTTGCCCTAAGTGAATAATCCACCGAACAACATGTGGGCCTTATTTTAAAGATATAATATTATATTCCTTTCCTTTTAAAAAAAAATATTGTTGTAAAGGTGTTTTTGTCTTACTTTACTCTTTTGTGTGGGCTGAGAAAAATGAAAGTATTGTTTTGTGCTAATGGGCTAACATTGAATTATAGTAGTTTGTTCATATATTGAAGCTTAAACAAAAAATTTTGCCCCAGGCTACAGCCCATGTGAGCCCCTTACTAGTTCCGCCCTTGATTCCATTTGTGTAGAGCAAGACTAACACATTAAATGCAAGTAGCACAAACTAGCTCAACCATAGCTTCTTCTCTTCTCTTGTATATTTGTCATTCATCTTTGATGCCTATTTATAGGCATAGAAGTATATAGTTTACTGCCATAAGTGGTAGGTTCCATTCAATCACATTGGTAGGTTACAACAAAACACACATTTTTTATTTTATTGATATATTTTGAAATTAGACAAATCGAAGTCTAGCTTTAATACAAATTCTAGGCAGAATTCCAACTCTAGGGGGGTGTATTCAACTAGGATTGTATATGATTTTAAAAGATTCTTTTTAAGTGACAGATTTCCTGGAATTGTATAACTCCTATAGGTTTTACCCGGATTTTTAAGAAACTTGTATAGACTTTTATTATAGACTTCCATACTTTTGTGATGGGGATCGGAATCCGGACATAGGTCACTAACCACACACACGAGCACCGAAATCTAGGGCTAGTGTAAACTCACATATATCGTAGCAAATCCATGTCACAAATAAACTATTTCATTAATCATCAACATAAACTCCCCTACAACTATTACATTAGCCTTATTTATAGGCTTTACAAGACTTGGGCACCAAGGCTACTTGGTCCAAAAGTAAACTAATTAATTATAAAATCACACATAAATAATAAAAGATATCCTAAAACTACCTAAATAAGAAATAACAATATATCATGAAATAACTAATTAAATGGTAAATATCTATCTTGATCCACCCATATGCTCCTGCATCAGACTCCCTTGGTTGGAAAGAATTCGTCCTCGAATTTAAGCCTTTGATTGAGGAAAATCCGAATAGAATCTTCAATTGCTTCATATTAATTTTGGATCTTTTAGCATCCAATTGAAACCTTCCTTTCCAAATAAAAAGATATTTGGAATATTTCGTTATTCTTGGCTTCTTCTTACTCCTTCTAGGAATGCAAATGTTTCTCTCTAGAATCTTCAATCGATTGACAAAATCAACCAAATTTTTGGCAACCTTCCAAGTGAAAATATTAACGCCCATAAAATCAATAAGATCTTCGAGAGTTTTCTCAATTCCCATCTCTTCACTGTTCTGATCAATAAATTGCTTATCAAAATTGCTTTGAACACCCAAACAATTTTCATTGCAATTTTCACAGTTGCAAGGATCAAATATTGGAGGTAAATCCAAATTTAATAACTTTGATGAATAAGAAGATGCACCAACATTAACAAATCCATTTATACCTTCAAAGACACAATGAGAATAATCGTGCCCCTCTTCACTTGACTCACACAGCGGAGCGCAATAATGAAAAGGGTTATCTCCCTCGTACTCCCCGTCGAGACTCCCACGGCTTAGAGTGTCGATGCGAGTTACTCGGTTCAGATAAGGGTTCACGCATCCCTCCCCGTCAGAACTCTTACCTATCTGGGTTTGAGCTTCGATGCGAGCAATGCGTTCCGTAAGTTGCCGTAGCTTCCTCCTAATTTCCTCCATGTCGTTGTAGTTGTCAACACGACCCTCCATCCAAAAACCTCCCCGAGAAAGCAGATCTTGAGCCAGAGCTCTGATACCAATTAATGGGGATCGGGGTTCGAACACAGGTCACTGACCACATACACGAGCACCGAAAGCAGATCTTGCTCCTGCATCATTTTGTATGAACTTTTGTTATAGATTCAGATCTATTTGTATAGACTTTATCACTCTTTCTTCTCAACACTATTTTCTTTGAACTTCGTATTTATATCTTGACCTAGCCACTAGTCGACCATCCCCTTTTTTTCTTTTTTCTTTTTTTCTTTTTTCAAATTCTTCCTCTACTTATGCGCACAATAATGAATTTCCCTTTGAAATTTCCACGAGTTGGAAACTTTCATGTCTAAGCCATTTTAAATTATAATCTTTATACCCAAGCCCAACGCTTTCTTTTTTAATTTATATATATTTTTAAAAACAATTTAAATAATTAGGACATCAGGTTTGGAAATCCTGACCTTATCCTTTAAAAGCCCACAACTTACCACTATATTGCCAAGATTCCTTGTGCTAAGTTGAAATAATTATCCTATTTAATACTAGCCATTCCAGATATTTTTTTATATATAAAACTAACCCTAATCCTCTCTCATTTTTTTCTTTCCTTCTATCGCTTTCTTCTCTACTTGTTTTATATCGTTCATGATGAAACCACCGTACACTTGTACAGCCCAATACAATGTCTTTCATGGCTTTGGCCCAATATGTGTATTTCTCTTTTTGTTAGGCTCTTCTTACTTTTCCCCACCTTGTGGGCAGGCTAGAGTAACCGTTAGATAACTACCACGTGTCATACATTTTCATCCTTATCAGCTTTTCCATCCTTGATGCATTAAAAGAAGCCTGGCTTCACATTAGTGAAGCAGAGAAGAATATACATTTCCTATTTTCAATTCTGCCTTTGGTCTTTTGTTTATCTTACTTTTCCCCACCTTGTGGGCAGACTAGAGTAACCGTTAGATAACTACCACGTGTCATACATTTTCATCCTTATCAGCTTTTCCATCCTTGATGCATTAAAGGAGCCTGGCTTCACATTAGTGAAGCAGAGAAGAATATACATTTCCTATTTTCAATTCTGCCTTTGGTCTTTTGTTTTTATTTGTTTGCTGCTTTCCGGGAAAGAATCCCAACCTTTCTCCGCTAAAAAAGCTTCCCTGTCATTTTCTCTATTTTATTCCCCTTTGAAGTCACAGATCTTCATCCCTTCAAAGTCACACATTTCCATCTGGTTGCACTGAGCCATGGTCAACGGTGGATGATTTTTCGAAAGGTTCAATTGGGTTTGACAGTGGTGGTTCACTTCACTTCAGAACTTCGGAATCGGAAAGTTCCGATTTTTTATGGAATTTTTCGGAGTCGAAAGTGTTTATTGAATTCCAAAAGATTTTAGACGGAAATTGGAATGGCTATTTCCGATCTGATCCGGCTGAATAACATGCCTAACTATGGCATCTTCTTCTCATTGTTTTCAGTTTGGGAGGGATGGAAATCAGATAATTAAAGAAAGAAAGCAGAGGATCCTTGGAAAGTTGCTTTCTTTTTCTATAACCAAACAGAGGTATTTATGTCTCAAAGAAAAGCACTTGCTTATTAGCTGTGGAAATTGAGAGAGCAACAACTGGTTTCCTGGTTTGCAAATACTCGTCGTGGAGATCAGTCTTCTTCTGAGCCATCTTTAACACCTAGTAGTAATCTTTACAGGCCCTGCTTGAGTTTCAGGGATGAACTATAATGTCTATGACGAGCCCATAAAGGTAGTGGTCACTCAAAACTTGATCATAACCATAGCTAGCCAGCCAAGCTAGCCTAAGCCCAACAGTTTTTGTTGTTGCATATATTTCTTGATTGGTATCTTTAATTTTTAATTGAATTTATAATTAGCTAGTTTCTTTTCTTCTATAGGCTATTTCAGAATCAGCAGAGTGGATATTTTTAGCCATTAACCTTGGCCTAGAGATGTTGTCAGCTGCTTTTGATCAGGCTTCCTCCCCAAGAAAACCCCACTACGCACTATTTGGGATGCTGTTGGCTATTGCAGCTGTGCTCATTTCCATCTGGGAGCTAATTTACAAAGGTAAAAAGGAAAGAGTTGTGTTGAGGAGATGGGGAATGCTCTGGTGGTTTTATCATCCACCTCCTCGTAATACGCTTTATGGTACTCTTCCTGACATTTATGGACTAGTTGCTGGCATCTCACAGTGCATTTGCTCTATAGCTCAGTATGTTTACTACCTTCGGCATGTTGATAATCCTTTCAAAGCATCCCTTTTGCCTGCCATATTTCTTCTGTGTTTAGGTGGTTCAAAACTAAGTAATAACCGAATGAACGCCAATACCACTGATAACAAGGACTCCAGGGAAAATTCTTCAAGGTAAACACGAATTAAACTGCTCATCTGCTGCTTAATTAATTTGCATATTATATATTTTTGCAGCTTTTTAGTCTGAGATAATACAAAAGGAAGGCTTCTTCTTCTTTATTTATTTAGTTTTGGAAGGAGACGAGATGCAAATTTTATGAAATAATTAAGGGGGATTTTAATGGATATCACATGGAAATTCTACTTTATTTCAATCAGCACAAAATGTAAAGACTAAAGTGCGAGCGGATGGAGAGAGAGTGGCTATAAGCTAGCTCTCTATCTCTAATAAACAAGACTGCTTTCTTTTCTCTGTTTGCTTTTTCATCTGTATGCATGGCTTCCACTCCATTGATAGAAAATATTCTCTGTTGGTTTGTAGCACGGAAGAAACTTCGACACAAAATGTAAAGACTAAAGTGCGAGCGGATGTAGAGAGAGTGGCTATAAGCTAGCTCTCTATCTCGAATAAACAAGACAGTCGTAAAAGATTGCTTTCTTTTCTCTGTTTGCTTTTTCATCTGTATGCATGGCTTCCACTACACTGATAGAAAATATTCTCTGTTGGTTTGTAGCACGGAAGAAACTTCGTTGCATGCAATCGCGGCGAATATACCATCTCTTGATGATCAGGAGGTAGAGGTACCAATTTAATTATGATTTAAAATTATTTCGAAAACATACATACATACATGTACATGTACATATATAACCTTAAAAAATTAATTTAAAAGTTGTCATTCATATATATATATCATGGCAATAACTAAATAAAATAGAAATCATGTTTCCATCTCTCTGGATAGTAAAGTAAAATTTACACTTTTCGTACATATATAACCTTAAAATATTAATGTAAAAGTTGTCATTCATATATATATCATGGCAATAACTAAATAAAATAGAAATCATGTTTCCATCTCTCTGGATAGTAAAGTAAAATTTACACTTTTATTTATTCATCATATTTGTATGCATATCATATATATATATCTTTTCTTTCGAGAGGACATGATGTATCCAAAAGGCTTAAGTTATGAAGTCCCATATGAAGGCCTACGTTATGAAGATGATAAAGTCCCATATGTATCACGGAATGTCAATTTGGAGCTCACTTTGGGAAGACCACATTGGGATTGAATACGATAAAGAAAAATTAAAAATTAGGCATTAGACATAACAATCCTTACTAATTAGGATTTGAGATATAGAATATTTCTGTTTGAGCTTTAATATCTAGGAATAAAATTTTGTTTTGAATTAGGCCAAAGAGGAGGCCTATGTGTGAAATAACCATTGACTATTAATATAAATATTGTGTAACTGACAAAATACCACAAAAACAAGGTTTGAGTCTCTTCATGCGCACTAAATTTCTTTCTTTTTTCTTTTTCTTTAGGTCAAGGGCAACATAGTTGATCACCAGCGAGGGGCGACGGTGGCTGGCCGGGAGTTGTTGGCCGACGATGGGTACGTCGGTGGTGGATGGGATCAGGCGATGGTTAGGCGGGTGCTGCAATGGCATGAGTGGGAGCAGGAGCGAGAGTGGGAGTGGGAACAGGAGCGGGAGTTGGAGCGGGAGCGGCTGTGGCAGGAGCGGGAGTGGGAGTGGGAGCGGGAACGGGAGCGGGAGCGGGAGAGGGAGCTAGAGCTGGAGCGGGAGCGGCTATGGTGGGAGCGGGAGCGATTGCGGCTATGCCAAGAGTCGGAGCAGGAGCGGCTGCGGCGGGAGCGATTGCGGCTCCGACTACGACAGGAGCGGGAACGGCTGTGGCAGGAGCAAGAGCGGTTGTGGAAGGAGGAACAGGAGCAGGAGCGGCTGCGGTAGGAGAAGCAGCAGCGGCCATGGGCAGTGGCGCGCTTGAAGGTTGGTGGACATGTGGTGGACATGTGGTGGACATGTGGCATGACTTCGAAGTAGTGGCATGGTGGACATGCAGGAGCGGAAGCGGGAATAGCTATGGCAAGACTTGGAGCGGTTGTGGTAGGAGGAGCAAGAGCAGCAGCAATGGCCACGAGTAGTGGCGCGCTTGAAGGCTGGTGGACATGTGACATTACTTCGAAGTAATGGCATTGTGTGTAATTTTAATATTTTTTAATTACATTATTGTAAAATTACGTACTATTTTTTGGTGTTTGACCTTATGCTAAATAGGTCAAATTGTATTTCCATCTTCCAAATTATAGTGTCTTAAAATGAAAGTTTCCTATTATTAATTGAATCTATTAATCACTTTTAATTCATTATTATATTATGTCTCTGAATGGATGGATGCTCCGATGGGGATGAGAATCAGGTACCCACCGAAGAAATCAGAAGAAAAACACGATTCGAATCCTCTGCTTCGATTTTCTCTGCTTGGATCTGATTGCCTTTCACTCCCCACAAGCCACGTCATTTAAATTTCAATCTAAAGGATTTAAAGTTGACACATCACCTTTAAAACAAAAACTCAAAATTTGCATAATTACAAAAAGAAGAGTAGATTTCCTAATTAAAACATCAAATTTGTGTAAATATTGTCAGAGATAAGAACTACATTTGTCACATAGTGGCTTGTAACGAAGCAATTGACATGGAACGTAACAAATTTAATATTTCCAAAAGAGTTCAAAACTTGAAAACATTTAAAAGATTGAGACTAAGCTAAAATAGGATCCATAATTTGTGGGTTTTAGGTATTTAATCATAAATGTTTTTTCATAAGTCACTTTTATTATCTTCTTACCGATCAGACAAAAGAAGGGTTAAATTTTTGAAAGTTCCTTAATGCCCTCGAGAAATAAATATAATTAAACAGATGATTCTTTAATATACGAGGGCAAAATGGTAAACATAAAATAATGAAATAAAATTTGAAGGAAGAGTGTTCACGTTCACCTACCAAATACAAGATAGAATAATCAACATTTTAATTAGTCAATTATTTCATAATCAACTGTTCAATCAATTATGTCAGAATCTTCTCGTCAGTTTCTCTCTCTCTGCTTTTTTCCTTTTGGGTTTCCTAGCCCATTGATTTTGTTATTGTTTCTTACACTTATGCTTCAACTTCTATCACATTCATTACATATTGGAAATGGGTTTTTGAGATTTTAGTTGCCCATTGAATAATTCAACGCTTATGTGCTTAGCACTGGAAATTGTATTTTCATTATCTTTTATTCTTGTGGAGTCGCAATGGACTGTGACAGCATAAGCTCATTTAGAAACTAAACTCAACTTTACTCTTGTCCTGTGATCAAACGTCTTGACTTTTGGTGCATTACTTTAGGTTTTTTGTGTTTTTTCTTGGGTTGAAAAAAGTGGACCAACTTTGTGGTTCTAGTTTGTTGTTACACACCAAAAGTTTCAAGCTTTAAACATTGTGGCACCTTTGTATATCATTTCTTCATATTTTCCATTCCTCATATTGGCATTCTGGAGTTTGCATAAGAGTTGATTGAGCTATTGGCAGACCCCAATATGAAAGTAAAAAAAAAGGCCAGAGATTATTCATTCATATGTTGCTGTATTGCATCAAAGAACACAACTTTTTCAAAAATAATAAAAATAAAGAAGCATGCATGTTTAAAGATTCATGACAACAAATTAAGTTAACGAGTGAAAGGTTTAATACCATTGACCCAAAGGAAATAGCAACTGCATCAAACTCATATATGGTTACTGCAACATTAGTGACTCAGCAGCCCAATAAAGTAAACCAAGGCTGGATAATAAAAAATAGCAAGTCTATTAACATGTTGGATAGAATTTTATCAAGTAACTCAGATGAAGCATGGACATTCATATCATTAAGGCTAGATAAGAGAAATCAGCAATGATCTGAGTGAACTCAATGGAGCTACCAGCACATTCCCAACAATCAGATGCATACAATTCCTTCCCAAAACTTGACCCACCGCTAGCAACATCGATATTGTCCCAAACTTAACCACCTGTTTAGCAAGAGTGGGGTTTTATACAAAAGGTCTCGATATTATTAGGAGTGGAACCATTTATTATATGAGACTTTCTATTTTGTTAAGTTTCCGATGTGGAACTCGTGTATTCTTCAACAGCTTGTACAATTGATTACTAACTCCAACTTCCAACAAAGATGAAGAACCAATGTATGGGAAATTAAATACTGGCATAATATTCAACAAATTAAAAGAGGTCAAATTTATAGCATAAACCACCAAACAGTATTTGAGCTTCCATAGCACAGTCTTTTTGAGAATATTTAAGTTTCCACAACTGTTAAATTTTTGTTTTCTTCTAAAAACAGTTCCTGGGAAATATCTTTTGTTATGTAGATTGTACTTTTAAAAAATTGTCATCTAGAACTAATTTGCAAGGAAAAACAAGACCCAGTTGTTGGGACGGAGCCAGGATTTGAAAATACAATGGGCTGAATCTCCAAGCTTTTCTTTTTTACCCTGAGTGAAAAGATTTGCATTAGTTTTTGTGGGCGGGGGTTGATATTTTCCATATTTACAGAATATATTGAAAGCATACAAAGGAACCAAATTCAGAGGATTCTAAACAAGTGGAAGCCCTTATAACTTGCAAGACACAAAATGAAATGAAAAAAAGGCAACAAAAAAAAAAAGAAAAAAAAAGGAGAGAAGTAAAGCAAATCTTAGTCTCTGATTGAGCTACTCAGTAATAAACATACCAAAGCAACATCATCTCAATTTAAATTAAAGTTCAAGACTCTCTTGTGCATTTCTGGATCGTTTCGTTTATCCAATTAATTGTTGAAAATAAGCCAATCTGTTGCCTGTTTCTATGCACTTCTTGCTCTCAAATTAGGTTGCCATAGTACATGTAACAGTGAATTACAATCTTCTAAAAGTTGTTTATACCCAATTAGTGTTTTTATTCAGTTATTTTTAGGTGAGATACAGCTGCTTTAGAACATCAATTTTTTCTCACTGACCACCAATTCGTGTTTGTAAAGCAGCTCTAATTATCCCATAAACTAAAATCTTAATTGTATGTACGTGAGCATAAATTCCATAAGAAAACCAACAAACCTCTTCATAATCCACATCCAACTCAGATGTGAATTTGAGAAAATAGAGGAACCAAATCTAATCTTTCCCAAAACCAATAAACCGCAATGAAAAACTTGAGGAGCTGATGGACAAAATAATAATAATAATAATAATAATAATCAAACAACACCTTAAATTATACCCCAAAATTAAACCTGAGAAATAAAATGTTGATTTAAAAACTGTAAAGGGTACAACCCATGCTATTGTAACTGTTACTCCCCAACAACTATAGCTAGCACCCAAGTTGTTATGCAAGCAATTTTAGAAGGATATATTACTAAATCTGGCTTTAATGCCTCCATCACTTGCTAAGCCTCATCATCAAAGCATTACTATCCAAGTTGGCATGCTTTCACTACAAAAGAGCTTAAGGAGGGTCTGCAATAAAAGTTTTTGTGGGGGGACTCTGTACACCAGCAATATCCACCCACTGGGGCTCACCTAATAAAGAGGAAATTGAAGCTTCAATTGTGAAGGTATCCAACTATGCAATTAAGAAGAAAACAAGCATTCAAGCCCTTGCACAAATTAGAGTCGTTGAGCAGGCAAAAAAAAAAAAAAAACACCAGCAGGAGTGTGCATAACTTCTTCCAGCGCCATAGACACTCATTTGACGACCATAAGATGCCCATGTTTGTCACTGCCATATCAAGAACGTGCCATACCAGTAAAGCATGCCACATGACATGGAACCCAAGTCATGGCAAAGCAAGAAGCAATTTCAATAGCTCTCAAGACATGAAAGGAGAATACAACTTCATACCATGCCGCTGGAGGTTGCTGAATATTTTTTGGTTTACTTTAGGCCTTTGCAAATTTCATGCTAACTTCATCCAAGCATTGTGAAGCCTCAGGCATCAAGCTACAATAGACATGCTAGTCAAGTTATTTCATGCAAAGTGAAGCAAAATTTGAGAAAAGAAGGAAAACCAAGCAACAAGCTACAAGCTAACATGCCACGAGCTCATTGCGAACCCTATCTACTTAACTCTCTGCATCAGTACAAGTAATCCATGCAGCTACAAAAAGACAAGTATCATGCCCTGCATAAAAGAGACTTGACAAATCAAACAAACCATGCTTCAAGCACTAACAACGTGCTATTTTCCTCATCTTGTTGTGGGTCTTCTTTATTTCCAAAGTACAAACCAATAAAAAACCAAATTCCCTATGTCCTTTGCTGAACTAGCAACCTGAAATGAAGCCAAGAATCAAACTTCAACCGCCGAAAAACACAAAACACTTTTATTCAACCTTCCTATCCAACCTCCCTTATTCAAGCCCATCTTGTGCAGTAGGAAAACTTACGAGCTATTGCATCATGCCAAGCAGACTCACTAAGCCAAGCCACATGCCAAGAAAATTACAATATGTTGGGAAACCAATCCCAGAATTATCAAGGTCATTCAAATAGGTTCAAGCCAAAATAAAATGTTTCAAGCCATTTGGACACATGCCTAAACCCATGCCAAATCTTGCAGTCAAAATTAAACCTGAGAAACAAAATGTTGATTTAAAAAATCTGCAACTAAAAGAAGATTAGACGATTACCTGGGGTCAGTGAAGCTCTAAGGCTTATAAGAAGCAGAATTGAAATTCGAAAATGAGAAGAACTAGGAGAGTGAATGGCACTACGGGACAGAGAAGGTTGGCAAAGGTGGAGAACAGAAAATTATACCCACACCCATTGACATATTCAGTGCACCCATAAAATTCTAAAAAACCGTTAACTTAAAAATTTTAAAGAAGACGAGGCTAGTTTGGCATTGCTGTGCTGTGAAAATAATCACTGTCAGATTTGCTGTGATAGAAATCAGCTGTTATAGAAAGCAGTTTGACATTTGGTAATCTTTTGCTAAAAGTGATTTTAGTACAATAATCAGTTTTTCAGTGTTTGGTAAATGTTTGTGTAAAAGTGCTGTGAGTTGTGTATAATGACGAAAAATGATATTATGTTGAAATGACTTTTCTATTCAAGTATTTGGTTATAAAAAAAAAAATCAATTTTACTTTCACTTATGTAATTCTTGTGTTAAATCTAATTTTTAACCATCACACCCTAAAAATTATTTTAATCATAAAATAAATAATGTGTGGAAAACTATTTTGACTGCACTAAAATTCTACACTACTATAATTTTAATAGTGTAAGAAAATTTCCATAATTTTTAATAGAACAAATATTGGACCTTTTATTTTTTGTCTGAAAACAATTATAGGTAGCATTGGCAAGTTATTGGACGGCGATTAGAAATGAAAGAATCACAGCAGGTGGAACAGAAAATAGAAAAGAGGGCATTTTGTGGAAATTGTAAAAAGAAGTAAGGCTATGTTGGGTTTTTTTTTTGGTCAAGGAGCTATATTCATTAATAGTGGGAAACATTACAAATTGAGAAAACTCAATTCAAAAGGCAGCCCAACACCAACAAATAAAGGCCCAAAGATACAAAACCAAATAAATAACATAAGCCCATAAACTAGTTTCCCCCTAAATAATCAAGGGAAATAGCGGTATATACCACCAATTTTATAATCTTAACTAAAAATACCACTGCCTCTCCAATTTTTGTACAACTATCACCTATAAATATAAAATTATTGTCCACTTATTGTACCCATATCAATTTTTCAGAAATTGGCTTCTCTCTCTACTCTATCTCTTCGGCCCGTCTCTCTCCCTCGTGTACCTCTCTCTCTCCGACGCAATTGTCTTTCTCCCTCAGCAGTGGCTGTTCATCCTCTCCACCGTTGACATCCATGAGGTACTCTTCATATACCTTTTCTTTGAAATTTGGTTTATGGTGTACGGATTTGTAAGAAATTGGTTTAGGGTTTTAGTGTTTAGGGGTTACTCAGAAATTGGGTTTGGGTTTATGGGTTTCTATGAACTGGGTAATAACTCACACCCACTCTCACTCGCTCGCAGGCACTGTTCACAGAAATCAAACTCTTCATTTTGTCATAGAACGTTTGGGCTTCGTTCAGCTTTGTCTGGATAAGTCCCAACTATCTATATTGTTTGATGAGATTTTAAGCTCTGGGCTCTGTGATTTCTACAAGAATTAATTCCACAATATTCTGATTTTACTTGTTCAAATCAAAGCAAAGGAAGGGACGTTGTTTATGGATGGGTAATTGTCAAAAACGACTTCTGGAATCTACATGCTTATAATCAAATTTTGCAGATTGTCAATGGTCCACAGTCCACATTTGAGACTGAGAATTTTGTATGTTCTTGTTAGGCTGGTTTTGTTTTACCTCTTCAATCATTGTTAGCATATGGTTCTCTGGAACTTTTGAATAAATTGTTTAATCAGATGTCCAAACCGTTGGAATTAATATCTTACTGTCGTAATGCATTTCATTTTCAGGCAATATGCAAGGATAGCCGCATTGTTCCTGGAGCGGCAACTACTGAAATTGAGTTAGCTAAGAGAGTAAAGGAATTCTCTTTTATAGAAACATGGTAAATGACGTGAATTATTATTTTCTCAAGATGTTGTCCCTGAAACATAAAATAAAATATTGATGTCTAGACCAACTATTGGAACTTGATTTTGTAACCATTTTCCCAGTCATAGATTTCTGATTGGGCAGTAGTGCAATAACCTACTAAAGAAACAATGGTTTTGCAGATTGGATCAGTATGCTATAGCAAAATTTGCCGAAAGCTTTGAGATGGTGCCTAAAACGCTAGCTGAAAATGCTGGGCTTAATGCAATGGAGATCATATCTTCTCTATATGCTGAACATGCATCAGGAAATACCAAAGTTGGCCTCGACTTGGAGGAAGGCCGTTGCAAAGATGTGTCAACTCTTAATATTTGGGACCTCCACATAACTAAGTAAGCTGCTCTTTGTCTTGTAACAGTTCATGCTTTTATGTGAAAGTTCTCAATACATTGAATGTTGTTACAGCTGTGATGTTTGATGCAATTTTGGTTCTGAATTTTCATTAATTTTGGATCTAGAATTTGTTTGTAGAGGAAGCTTTTATTAGTAATCCCATTTTTGGTGGTTTTGATAGCCAATTAGTTCCTGTTGCGTACATTAATGGTTCATCTTATTGGTATCCTTTCTGTTGATTTTCTGTATCAAAGTGTGACTAACTGGCATGGGTGTTTTGAGGATTGTGGTGCATTTTGAAGTCCATTGGCCGGCTAATAGGGCTAGGAGGTTATGCATATATGATGTATAAAATTTAGTTCATGATTTGGTGGTCTAACAACTACATCTTTGTGCTGAAAGCCTTTATTCACCAGGGGACCCAGTCATTCTGTTATTTTCTTTATTATATTTCATTTGTGTAAATAGTTAAGCCACATATCCACTACGAAAGGTTTCTTATCTTTCTTTTTCAGTAAATGGTTGGTTTCTAGAGGATAACAGAGTGACAATGCCAACCTTTTTATTTTTTATTTGTTTTACAAATAGCATTGATGGTTTGCATTTAGGATTTTTAGGAATTATAGCATTCGGGAATAAGTGAGGATTTCTTTGGATAACTGATAAATAGTAACTTGGAAACATCTCGACTTCAAACATTTTGGGTATTTTATGAACTTTAGATAGTTCTGTTTCATTAATTTATTGAAATCAACATGTTTAAGTTGGCCAGGAAGTTGTTTCGTATCAATCTTCTTTCTTGGGCTGTTTGTTGCAGGTTCTTTGCTCTCAAGTATGCTGCAGATGCTGCCTGCACTGTTCTACGGGTAGATCAGGTAACTAGTAACTACGTATTTGTCAATGGTTTTCCTAATTTTGAAGTACCCAAATTTGGTAT